CAATTTGACCTGTTGGACATTTAGTAAAATGTGGAGTAAGGAAACAGACTATATTACTAAGTATATCATACTATATACTACAGAGTACATTGTAAAGAGTTGATAAGAAGTTATTATATGTGAAACAAATGGGTCTGCAGTTATTTAGCGGATAAAATGGGGTTTACAAACTGATGTACCAGTAAGCACATGAACACTGGATGAATATTTCTTATGCTGGTATCCCCACGTTGCTTTACTGATATTTCATAATAATTTCTTTTTGCTACCGGCACCCTTTACACCTGTTCCTGTACATTAACCAAACCAGTCATAAATGAGGCATGCAAATTAAAAAAACGGTGAAAATGCGCAAATTGAGCGAGGTCATCTTGTCTTGATCAAAACTGGTGGATCAACTAGGCAGATGAGTGGAACAACAAAAAAATATCATGTACATGCAGCATGCAGTGGCAAACACAGCCCCAACAAAGTCCACATGTCCATGAACTAATTGGCTGCAGTGTTCATGCACAAGGCACACATGTGAGATCAATGGCTCATGCTGTCAATGGTGTATGGCTGCAACAACAAAGAAGAGATACAGCTGGAGTTTACAAGAGGGAAATTCCAAGAAACAATTATTCTTTACTTCAGTGGAATGGGAAACTTGATCTCACCTGAAAAAAGTTAATACAATAAATGGAACAACCAACTTTCAAATGTCTTTTAAATTATTTTTCAATGATGATTGCGCTGATGAATGCATTCTATTTGAAATTATGCTTGGAGTCAAAGACAATGCAACTCTTGGTTTTTATCACTTCAAAGCAAATAAATTATTTTATTTGTGAGGAATACACTAAATTTAAACAAGTTAAACACGTGGAGCAGCTCAAAAACTAAAAAAAAAATGAAAGAACAGGTCAGCAGATGGATTTGATCAATGTGTCAATGTGCAATGGATACTGTTTGATTAACATGCAGGTCCATGTATTAAGCAAAAGAAAATTTGAAAAAATAAACATATTAACCAGAGCTTCAAAACATATGATGTGGGGAAAATACATGTAGCTACATGTAGCAAGAGGTGTTAAGCAATACCAATTAAGATGCCCCAGTTGGAATGAAATGATAGTTACAGGGACAACTAGTAATCAGTTATATGTGGTGGGTATCCATCTTAGAAAATACCACATGTCTACACGTATATGAATGACTATTCTTTTACCATGCCTGCTTGCTCCAGACCCTGCACAGAAACCTACAAGTAACGATATTTTACAACCCTACAAAGTAACTCCATTCCAATACTGACAAAAATGTTGGTCTAGATACGTGTACTGCCTGTGACTAGGACAAACGAAGGAAGGGAAGAGGGTAATAGTCTAGCTTCAATTACAGTGTACTGGTACGATGACATCGTACAGTTCAAGAACAGCCACCGTATCATTGTCTTTATAATGTCTGAGGCTAGTCAACTCATTTTAGTTGTCAAAAGTCCACTGTAAGGCAAAGTCTTTTGCAATTACCTGACAGCTTCGGGTAAGTCAATGCAACTATAGGGAAGGTAGGACTAGCTTTGAGGACATACATGTATGTAGTCTGTCCTGGGTCTCCAGTCTGAAAGGGAAAACTCTCAATTCTGCCCATTTATCCAGGTAAACCAATTACTGATGTGACTGCCATCATACAGTAACAGGTGCACAGTGAAACAGACCATGGACATGCAAATGATTAGGCATCTAGTGTCCAATTCTATCATCCAGAAACACTACCACTACTTGGTTTGTGTGTCACTTTTGCTGATTGCCTGGTAAGTGGCACCTACAGCAGTAAAATGGTTCTTTTTTTCAAATGGATTCCAATTCCAGGATTGTTGGCTCTTTTAACTACATGGAGTGACTCTAATGATCAATCCCCCTCTTCTAAAAGTGGAATGTAAATTGTTGTATATTCCTCCACATCCCATTAAAACAATTATTGGTCCCACAGAGTGTATGTCCTCAGTCATCTGGAAAAGTGGTGTCAAATCTCTGATTTCCACTACCCATAAGCTGACAAATCCTTTCAATCCCACAATATACAGCTTAGCACTGTGTCATATTTGTACAGTAGGCAAGATGGGCAAAACAGACTAGTGACAAGATGTCCAACTTCTTCAGCTGCAAGAGCAGATGATGAAATGCTACCCGTGCTGGAGACCTTGCAATTTCTCGCAGTGAGAATATTTCCATATTCCAAGTAAGCAGTCCACTTTACATTGTTCACATCATTTCATATATGCATAAGATTGTGTGAAAAATTACAAAATTCCATTGGAAATATGATGCAGCAAATAACACGTGTACAGTAAATGAATTCTGCATTTAAATCAGTGGTTAAATGAAAACACAATGAAAACTTTAGAAGTATATCAGGAAAGTGAATCCAGGAGGTAACATTAATGAGACAGTGATCATACACTCACACACTTTGTGCTGACTGTACAGAAAGATGTACCAGCCATGTTTAACAATTCTCTAGAAAAATACTAATGCATTATTTACACGTACAATGTTGTGTTCTACGCACACTATTAAACTGTCAACTGGGTGCATACATGTTTCACTATATGTACTTCAGTATAAATGTGGTGCCTGCGAAGCATAGGCAATGATAAACTTTGCGACACTTGGTGGCGACAAACATACTGGTCTTTTTTACCAGTTCTGATCATGTGCGCATTGTTCTGATCATGTGTGCATAATTCTGAGCACACACAATACTTTGAAAAAAGGACCGGTATGTTTTCTGCCACCAGTGTCTAGACGTCTCCCATTACAAATGCACTCAGGATTTCATTTCTTCTTTAATCAAAGAAAATAGAGGACACCTATATATGCAAGTACCCATGTATGGCAACAATATTTGTCCACACTGGCTTTGTTTGCACCCTTAGTGAAGGGTCTAGGAACACACCGACGTACGTGATACCGGTAAACGGAAAACTGTACTTCTGCCAACCATGTGAAGGTCTACAGCTGTACGGTTGAATAATCCTAAAATGAATATAAACACACTGTTGAATTCTAGTCTTCCAATAAAGTCCACTGTGATGAACAGCATTAGCATAAAAGGCACTAAGAGTAACAAAAGAAACAGACTTACACGCGTGCATCAGTACAAATTTAACAGACCTGCTGCTAGGGGAACAAACGCTTATCAAACCCTGTTAAAGACTATAATAAATATTTTTTTCTGTCTGAAACATACATGTAAATCCAATTTCTTACATGCATCATGCAAACTACAAAATCACCCCAATGTTTACACTTTAATAATATAAAATGTGCCTCAAGCACACTAAGGCACTCCCAAGTCAGGGGCCCCCTGATGCCCAGCCTAACATGCTCATACAAAAACCACTCAAGAATATAGGCCACTCACAATCCATACACACGTACATGTATCATACAAGTTTGTCCATGTATAGTTGTGTGACTTGGTATTCAGAAATATTAGCCAGTAGTGTTATTCACGCTGCTTCTCCCTATTTTGTTGTTAAAAGGACTATTTGAGAAAAATTCCATTCCAAGAGAGGTTAAATAAGAGAAATTTTCTGTCCTGCTTTGATTCACTTCATTTCTTCTTTTAGCTTTGTTTGGTTTACTCTTTCTCCAAATTCAACAATATTCAATGTCATATTGAAACAGGCATGTATCACATTCAAGATCACTCATTGAGCCTGATGACCAAAAGAACACTGTTAGAAATGGACTGGAGCCAAGGATGAAGAGGCTCTGTCCACCATGAAATACTGTACAGGAACCACACAGGACAGGAAAGGATTCTCTGGACTATCCTAAAGGTTTTGTCTCGGGTGTTAGCTTGATTTTCATTGGCTTTATTTTCATCAGCATCTGCCGACCCACTTCAAGACTTTTAAATTTCAACCCAAATCTTTGGCTTTTTATTGAAGTTTTACATTTCTGTAGTACAGCAGACAAAAATCTTGAGACAGAATCTTCAGATTTGTGACTAAAAATTTCAGGTGAAGCTGAAGACTCTTATAAGAGTGCAGCTAAACGGCCAACAGCATTCCTGCCAAATATCTAACCGAATACTATCTGAACTCTTATGCTTGTGCCTTTAATTAATATCATTAACTTTCACTCAAAAGATTCCAGAGTTTAAATAGAGCATTATTTTGGAAATCTTAGCAGCATGAAAATGCATGATTAATGACAAACCCACAACCAATGAATGTTTAGATCAAGTTGTTTCTGACTGGAAATGACTATTTGACAATCACCCAAAAATGTTTTGTTATTAGGCACAAATTTGTTTTGAATGCAGCATAAGCTTTTCTCAGTTCGTAATCACTTCCAAATTGTACTACATACATGTACATGTGTGCCAACCAAATGGATGAATGCTGAGAGGTTTTTCATAACAGTGATTGAACAATGCTGCCAGTATACGGAGAAAAATTAATCTTTTTAAATCTGGCTCAAGTTACCCGTGCACATCTCAGGCACTTAAAAAGAGCAAAACATCCATTTAAAAAAATGCACTGCACACCATGCATGGCCATGTCCGAAATGGGTTTCAAGAGCTACGGCTACGTCTGTTGTCTGCGGGTCTCCACATTATTTCCAACTGAGTGAAGACCTAGACCTAGCTCTTGACAACAGATTTGGATGCAGCTTACTTATGTGAAAATGGCTACAGACCTACAACTCTTCTCTGCTGTTAGTAATCCACTGCAAGGAAAGCTTCCTGACAGTGACAGTGAGACAGTCGATGACATGCTGACAAATTGGTTGAATGTGCTAGAGAAAAACAGTAGCCTTACATTGCAACTTGCAGAAAGATAGTCATTTTCAATCTGTGCTTAATACAGCCACAGTGGCTGGTCCATGTTAATAAGGCCAGTTTCCACACTAACTCTGTGAGTTTTGGAAAAGCCCGCTAATCTGCTTGACTCGACTACTGTAAGCAAAAGCTGGCCGGACTGGACTGGTGATACGAGGACTTACATGATCTCCGGGTGATAAGCTCTGAACCATAAAACACACAGGGCTGGCAGCATTGCGAATGATGGCAACAGCATAGTCGTGACTGGCATCCCGCAGATCACATCCATTCACCTGTAGGAACAACCATATGAATGCACACATGTATCCGTAAGCCAGAACTGAGGCTTACAAACCTATCATCTGCTCAACCCCCTGCTTTCTAGATGTCCTATTTATTAGAAGATTTATTACCAGAGGTAGCAACAGAATCATCAGCAAAAATCCAGCTCAATAATGAAGAATTTCATCTGTATGAGAGGCAATGCCATACAGAGACACTGTTGTGCCATTAGTAAGTTGAGGTCTATCCCAGTTTTTTTGATTAGCTGTGACATTTTGGCAACGTTTTGTATTCACCGTAGATGTTAATGTTCTGATGACCTTTGGATTCTTTGTCATGACCTTAACCTTTTCTTCGTTGTTATTTGTGTCCTACGTGTGCTCTGATTAAAATAAAATGCAAAAAGAGAGAAACATGGATTTCAATTCTCATGGTATCAGGTAATAATGACTGGTACCAAGTTGCCAGGGCTTGGTTGGTAAGCACAAGATCCAATGATGTAATTACTCCCTTTGACTCCTATCATGTCTGGTTCACTCCACCCAACCCTGCAGACTGAACGTAAGACCCAAAACAATACAAATTGTTGGATGAAATTTAAAAGGCTGACCTCCAAGATGCGATCTCCAGTCTTCAATGCCCCTGTTCGGCCTGCAGGGCTATCGTCCAGTACATGCTTGATGTAAATACCTTCTACTGGTTGACCGTCACCAGCACGTCCTGTGTCCAAACAATATTCATATGGTCATGTGATCAGCCAGTTCCTCACTGCTGAATGCAGGGAAGTTGAGTTTGCACCCCCAGCAAAATGTCACTGCAACACACTGTCCCATTACTGTTGAGATACCAACTTCACAAACTTCTGACATGCCTGTCTTGCAATTTGTCAGTTTTTCAAATGCCAAGTAACCAATGTTACTTTTTCTGCACTATACATGCAAGATGAACAGCACTCATGCACAGGCCGTAGAGTCCATTGTAAATGGCAATAACACCCAAATGCCTTTTAGAACACATTACATAACTGTCTATGCACCCTGAGCATGGACATACTTAAACACTGTGTGTATGCATTCCAAAATTGTAAAAAGATCTGTCTTCAGCTGACATTTTTGAGGATGCCCACCTCCTCTGCCTCGAAAAGGTTCAGAAGGATACAAAAACCAACAAAACCACAAAAAGAAGCTTTTCTACAGTTAAAGTTTATGGGAATTGGAGGCAGGTTATTTGCTAGATATAATACTCTGAAATTAAGAACTAAGTTGATGCTTGATGTCTATTACGTTCTTGATGTTCGATTCCCGGCTTGGTCCACAGACATGAATATGACATATGGATTGGGTTTTCAACCCCTGATTCTGTGGGTTTTACCCAGAATTTTCGTCTCTGGGGTTTCCTCCCAACTCTAAAACTGACATTGCTTCTTGTTGTCTGCTATCTATAGATATGTACAGCACAGTTGAACATACTGTACATGTAACTATGAAATTTGCACTGTATAAATGAATGAATGAAATTAAATTATACTAAAGAGCAGAGTACTTTAATTGCAGGACGATATGAGCACTTCCAATGTACTAATATATTGTGGAATTATGGTGTATAACATATCATGTGACATCGCAGCTGCCAACAGTTACATGTATATATTCAAACACCAACAATGTCTGCCTTTACGTACTCAGTGCAAATGGCCATATCATTCTTATGTGTGTCTACAGCAAATGTAACTTTGTGACCCTGCTTATTTTGAAGTAACACCTGTACCGGTACTTCACAGGTCAATATTAAGATACTGTCACTTATATAATCATGGACCATATCTTGATCAAGACACAAGAAAATTAATAGACAACTGAGCAAACATCAATCAAATCATTTATGATCAATTCATGAATACCTCAGACAGTTTCCCCATTCAACAACACGCAACGTGACCATTTATTAGCATTTGATAGTGTCTACAGCGATTTGATAATGCCTGCTGCATAAAATCACATGGCACCTACATACGAGACAGTTTAATTCATTCCTACTGGTCATGAGTCTTGTGGCACACAGAACTCACAATGCGCGCCAAGTGCATGTTAGGAGATTCATCTGGACTACTTGCACAAGGAACATACCCTTAAAATGAACGGGGGTGTTCGGGAACAGAAATGTAAATTTCTTGAACAAAATCCTTGGAAATTTACTGTACATTGACCACTTTTGCCTTTCTTGACTAAAACGGTAATTATGAACGAGAATAAATATGCTTGGTCAGATCAGCTCAGGAGATTTTAAACATTGATAATGTCTGAGCCGATTCTCCTGAGCCGAGACCGGCCAAGCACATATTTATTCCTTTATTAATCATGCTTGATTACGTAAAACCTCATTCAAATAATTAGGGGAAATATTCTCAAACAAAAATGTTCCAGGTTAGTGTCCGAATTTAATAAAATCCAAACTATTAGTCAAAGTAAAACTTTTCATTTTTAATAGAAACAAAAATATTAGTTTCAGGAGTCGTCTATGATAAAAAATCAACATATTGCAAGATGCAACTCAAAAATGGAAGGAAATCATTTTTATCAACCCAATTCCAACATTCCAATTGAAAATGCTCCTTTATATGAACATGTGGAGAATACTAACCATATCTGTTGGTCACTAAACAGCAAGAAATAAAAGAGTAAATTATCGTTTTTTAACTATGGTATACTAATAAAAAAAAGTTAGGAATATAGATTGTATCTCAGCAGACAAAGCCTGCTTGTTGGATGAGGTTCACAAGAAGCCATTCAAGACACTACGCTGCTTGTGGTATGCTCCCTGCATGGGGAAGACTAGTATACTTGTGGAAAATGCTACACTGCTTTCATCATGTCAAGGGTTGATTGAAAAACCTAAGAAGTTCCAGTATTGATCACGTAAATCATTTCAATAGTTGACATTTGGTCATTATTACCTTCTTGAACCAGTTCTGACCATCCACCTTGCAAATCTGGGAAATACAACACGCTGACACTGAATAAGGATTCAATGTGGCACTCACCTCCTACAATGCTGATCCCAAGGCTCTTGTTGGGTTCCTTGGTGAGTCGGACAGTATGTACCTCCTGTGCACTGTCACCTTCTGCAGCCACACTGACAGGGGACAACGCTACTGCAGCAAGCTTGACAGAATCTGAATGTTGATCCTTGAGGGGTAAGGCAAACTTATCATCCGTGGGGCTGTGGGGTTATCAAAAGCAACAAGATACCGCAAATTGCTCATGATTTTTCTCAAATGGAAGAGCTCTTTGAAATTATTTCACTGTCTGTAAAAAACAGTGGATAAAAATCGACTACACAAAAGCATGATTCAAATTGTCAATTCTAGGATCTCAATTATTCCAACTCTCAGAATATCAAAACAAACAGCAATAATTTATTTCAAAGTAGGATTCTGAGCAGTAATTCAAACAAATACTTAAAAAAGGTAGAGCTAACCTTACTGAAGAAAATGCTGAGGGGTCTTCACGGAAAGCTGCTGCATCACTAGCAGGGATGTAAGTCATGCTATGCACAAGGGCAGAGACAGCACATTTACTATACTACGGTAGGAATAGAAGTGTATGCTTTGCCAAGGGAAGAATGCACTACATTATGGAAAACATCAACATTAAGCCACTCTGTCACATAGCAAGTACCAATGGCTCTAGATCACTTGTGTCTTTCATAACCAAATCTTGGACCGTAACTCTCCCCTATTGGGAATACACAGGAGAATACATGCAATGCTCTCATCAGTCAGAATTTTTTTTGTTCACTGACTCGCACTGATTTCACTCAAAAGATGCCGGCCAAACTGGTCTCTTCAAAGCTCTGTGCTTGGTAACGCATCCCAAAGTTACTGATGTCAAAGTCATAGCCTGAAACAGACCCTTTTTGGATAAGCACTGGGAGTGCACATACCTGATTTCATCTCCTGCCAAGGAGGCCCTTCTGAGTATGGCTCTGGCCTCCACATTACTCAAACCACGCATAGAGTTCCCATTGACTGATGTGATGTAGTCCCCGACAGCCAGGCGTCCATCATGATGGACAGCACCCCCGCGGATGATGCTTTTGACCACAACACCGTTGGATTTGTCGGCAATGACAGTCAGACCTAAGTCAGATTGAAGCATACCAGTGATGTATTAATAGCCATGGCTCCTAACATGGCACATGTAACAAGCTTTGCAAACATAAGTTTCCTGTTACAACGTGAACTCCGTTTACTGAAAAGAGACTGAAATAAGCAATATCTTGATATATTATGACCCTCTCTGGCATATTTTGCTTTGTTTTTAATTTATCATTCTATGTATTTTCTTCAGTGAGCTAAAATGTCTCAATGTAGAAACAAACTCATTTCTGTCACTTTCCCGAGAAGTTTCTGAATTCTTTAACATTTCAATACCAAACAATCAAAACCAAAGACCAATATGAAATTCTTTCATCCCCACCATTTCTAAATGATACAGCCTGAATTCAACATGTCACCAAGCCTAGGCTCATACAGGTATATGTGGCTTAAGAACAAGTCACAAGTGCCTGCTAAACACCACAGGCTATTTTGCCTCTTTCTCCCCACTAGACACTTCATATAAAAACAGTAATAATCTATTTAAATGAGCATTGTTCAGTTTTTGATGACACATGCACACTTTGGCCAATCTGTGCATATTGGATGAACATTAGGTTCTTTGCTAGTTATTTCAGTGAAATTTCTCATCTCAAAGAGACCCCAATCAACATCATCCCGGAGATGAATTTCAATGCACACAATTTCCAGGTGTATTGTTCTCATTCAATTTGAAAACTAGCTGCTGACACTGCACAACCCAAAGCCCTAATCGCCAAGCAAGTATTTTCAGTAGGGACTTTACCCAATCCAGCATTTCCCTTCTTCAGGTTGATTGTCTTCTCCAGACTGTTGGGCAGTACCACTGACGCTCGCTTTCCCAATGGCACATTGGCAATGGCAAGGGAGGTTGGGACAGCTGTGACTGGAGGGTCACTGGACTCCGACAATGCTTCAGCAGTCACACCACTGTTGCGAGGACTTGGTTTCGGTGGGAGTGGTGGTGGCTGGCGCTTTGACTCAAGTAGGGAACTCTTCACTGCAGTCTCCTGTGACGCAAGAATATAGCAAGCACGGCCAAGTTATATTAGGTTAGAACATAAAAAGTTCTCAACACTGTAGACCACGAAAGTTATAGTGTAAG